GCAGGAGTGGAGGTGACGGACAGGAGTGCAGCCGGGGCAGGTACCATCCCCGTGCCCGCAGCCGTACCCGACCACCCTGCAGGGCTGCGGGGGGGTGGAGGCAGTCATTCCCCAGTGGGCGGCGCTGGGACGTAACATCTGTCGGAGGTGGTTTTGGGGGAGTTTCCCTGGCTTCTCCCAGGAGCCTCAAGCTGGGACAAGTTTCCCTCACGGGAGATGTTTTCTCTGCCTTTCGTGTTTGGCACCCGGGGCTCCGCACCCCAGCAGTGCCAGGTGCCAGTGGGGCTGCGTGGCACCCCCTGATGGACTCTGGGCTTGTAGGGCTGGGCTGGTGCCACCAGGAAGCAGCCGGGAGCAGCTGCTCTATGCCAAGAAGCTGTACGACTCGGCCTTCCACCCCGACAGCGGCGAGAAGATGAATCTCATTGGGAGGATGTCCTTCCAGGTGCCAGGGGGCATGGCCCTCACTGGCTGCATGCTCCAGTTCTACCGGTGAGCCCCTGGGGACACCAGGCTGGGGACGCATCCCTGACAGCCCTCAGCCCCTTGAGGGGTCCCCAAGGGCCAGGCCACAGCCAGCCTGCCTCTTCCCCAGCTGGCATGCCCAAGGCATGCCCCTGGCTGCTGCGCCTGCCTCTGTTCCATGGCCAAGCCCTGGTCTCCAGCACCCAGCCTGTGGTGGAAGCATCATGGATCCTCCCGGCCCCAGGCATGGCTGGGGATGGTCACGCTTCGCCCTGAGCTCAGCTCAGCTCTTCCTGGAGCCCCTGTAATGAGTAACGTGGCCAAGTCCTGTCTGGCCGCTGCTCTTGCTCCGTGGACCATAATGGCCCCCAAAACTGGGGACCAAACATGCTCCCAGCCCAGGCTGCTCCAGCGTCCCCAGCCCATGCTGACAGCTCCCTGCATTTCCCTTCTGAAATGGCTGCTGGGGGGGTGAGAGATCCTGTCCCTGGGGCAGAGGACGTGTGGGACAGACACTGCCTTTCCCACTGAATCCCCGTCCCGTCCCATCCCTGGCTGCTGGACTGATTTGCCAGTTGCTGGCAAGGTCCAGCCTGGGTGAGCGATCCCCAGTGCTGATGGGTAACCCCCTTCCCAGCCCATCTCCACCCTCCCTGCATCCCAAATCTTGCTCAGACCCACATCTCCCCGTGTCCCTTCCTGCCCCACCTCACTGTCCCTGAGACACCGGTAGGAGACCAGGCATCCTGGTCACCCCCAGAGCTGCCTCTGTCCCCGTGTGCCCCCTCCTTGCTGCTCCCATTGACAAAGGCTTATCTCAGCCCAGCAGGATGGCTGCCGCCCTGCTGAGAGGTGGGTCTCCCACCCCTGGCCAAGCACCCCCACAGGGCTGGGCCCCCTCCTGTGCTCTCCAAAGCCCTGCGGCAGCCAGGACTCCTGGGGTCATTTCCCAGCTCTGCCACTGGCTCACAGCTTTGCCACAGTGCCTCAGTTTCCCTTGGGAGACACCAGGACAAGGGTATTGAGGGCATCTTGGCTGTCCCCCCGCCAAGCCTGGCCACAGGCACAGGCCAGGTGTCCCTGACGGCCCTCGGGCTCTCTCCTGGTCCCTTCCCTCTGCAGAACAGTGCCTGCCGTGGTTTTCTGGCAGTGGGTGAACCAGTCCTTCAACGCCATTGTCAACTACACCAACCGCAACGCCGCCTCCCCCATCTCGCTGAGGTGAGCGTGCCCCTGCACAGACCCTCTGTGTTGTGACCCCCCTGGATACCCTGTAAAGACCCCCCCGTGACCCATTTTGGGCACTGAAGGAACAGGATTGAGTCAGAGCTGGTGTTTCTGTTCTCTCCCTTCTTTGGAAATCACTGTCCAGGCAAATTGGGGTGGCTTACGTCATGGCCACTGGTACAGCCCTGGCCACCGCGGTGGGACTCAACCTCTACACTAAGGTACGCCAGGACAGGGCTGGATGGGGCAGCTGGCTGCATCCTGCCCTCCCGTGCTGATGCCAGCCTGTCTCCTGCAGCGAGCCCCCCCCTTGCTGGCCCGCTGGGTCCCCTTTGCAGCCGTGGCTGCTGCCAACTGTGTCAATATCCCCATGATGCGGCAACAGTAAGTGCTACGCGTGGCCAGGGCGCTCAAGGGACCCGGCTCCCTCCGAAGGCGAGCCGGTGGCAGCTGGGCTCCTGGGCTGCCTGGTAGCCCTGCCATGGTTTCCCGTCCTGGGGGCTGGAGGAGGTGGGAGGATGGGAGGGAGGTGATGTGGGGTCTGCACATTTGCGGCTTCGGGTCTCTGGTGGAGGGTGCTAGGTGGGGTGGCTCAGTCTCTGCCCGGAGTGGGACGGGGATTTTGGGCTGAGGGTAGCTGTTCTGGGGTCTGGGCTAGAAGATCCCTCAGACCCAAAGGTCTTCTGCCGAGTGGTCATGGGAGAGCCCCAGTCCACTATGTCCTGGCGCTGGGACCCCCTAGATGGGGCCCATGTGGAGACCTGTGTCTGCTGCTTGGGGTCCGCTGTGGGTCACGGCATGAGGAGGTGGGGTGCTGTGCTGGGGACTGTCCCCTGGCTTGGCTGCAGGTCCCAGGCGGGTGTCTGTCCTCCAGATGGCCAGACCCTGTTCACAGCCATGCCCTGAAGATGGCAGCATCGGCTGGGCTGGGGACCGTGGCACTGCAGGGCTGTGGAGGCCTGTGCCCTGGGGCCAGGGCTGGGGGCAGCGGGGGCTGCTGTGCCAGCACAGCATGGGGGACCCCTTGGCACCACCTCGCCCCATTGCTGTGTCCTCCTCATGAGTCCCCGGCCATCCCGGCCACCACTCACCGCTGGCTGTCCCCTCCAGGGAGATCATCAATGGGGTGACGGTGACAGACGAGGACAACAATGAGCTCGGCCGCTCCAGGGTGAGTCTCAGGATGGGTGTCCAAGTTGGGGCACGGTGCGGTGGGGGCTCACCCACTGCTTTTGCTTGCAGAGGGCGGCGGCGAAGGGCATCGCGCAGGTTGTGGTGTCCAGGATCCGAGACCAGGGGCTCCCCCAGAACCTGCCGCATCACCCTCCACTGCCCCAGTTTTCCCCCGGGAAAAAGAGGGAGGGTGGCCCTGCATCCCAGGTGGCGTTTGGTCTCATCTCACTGATGGATCTGGTCCCTCCATCCTGCTGTTCCCATCAGAGCCCCCCAGGCTCCCATCCCAAGCCACAGCCTGTGGGGGATGTGGGGTGCTCCCGTGGTGGTTGGGCCCCACGAGGACACCTCTTACACTCTCCGTCCCTGACTCCTCACCCCACATCCCCTTGCCCTCGTGAGACCCTTGTTGTGCCGCAAGCCTGGCAGGAGGGACGGGAGCACGAGGTGTACAGAGCGTGCTGCCCGGACGATGGATGGATGGGGGTCCCGTGCCAGATCCCTGCCGTGAGCAAACACCCAGCAGCCCCCAGCATAACCAGCCGCTGCCATGGCCTCTGGGAGGAGGGTCCTGCTGGAGCAGCCCTGCGGGCTGGCTTGTGGGGGGGCCCTGACCTCTTCTTTCTGCACCTAGTTATTTTGCCCATCATCATGGAGCGGCTGGAGAAATTCCCCTTCATGCAGGTGAGCCCATAGTGCCCCAGCCCTGCTCCCCAGCTGCTGAGATGCTGCGGATGAAATGGGGGGGTTGCAGAGCCTGGCTTGCTTTGCCCACTGTTCAAGTCACCATTACACCAAAGGTCTCTTGGGTGACATGGAGAGGCTGCAGGAGGGTGGGAGGGGTCAGTGGCACCCCAGAGGTGTTAGGCATTCAGCCCCGTTGAGGGGAGAAGTCTCCCCACCCTGTGAGCAGGGCTTGCGGCAAGGCTGGGGACTGACTCCCGGCTCTTCCCTTGCAGCGGATCCGGGTTCTCCATGGGCCTCTGCAGGTGCTGCTCTGCGGGGGCTTGTAAGTATCTCACTGCTCAAATGCCTGTGGGTGCCTGGAACGTGGCTCTGAGGAATGCTTGAAAAAAGACCTCTTTCCCAGCAGGGGACTGCAAAGCTGCTTGCCTTTCAGCCTGGGCTTTCCCCAGTTATTGGGAGTCGTGGGGCATGAGCAGCACCTCTTGGGCTGAGATCCCCAACACTAACGTTCGGCTTTTCTCTGTCCCGCAGCCTCCTGTTCATGGTGCCGGCAGCCTGCGCCCTGTTCCCGCAGAGATGGTACCTGTCCCACTGCTCCCCCCTCCTGCGCGGGACCTCGGGAGCCTTCCTCCTCTCCTAGCTCTTCTCTGCCCATCCCAGGAGAAGCATGATGGGCACCCACCCTTCAACCCTAGGCAGTGCCTGCCTGTACACACTAGTGCCCCAGGCAGCAGGGGAGTGTGTGCCTCCCCTGCTCTGCAAGCTCTGTGCTGGGAGCAATGGGACCCCCAGCCCCATGGGCAGCTCCCTGCCCTCCAGCACTGGGAGCGATGGATGCTAGGGATGGGTGGTGGGTCTTGATGTGAGCCTGCAAGATCCCAGGGACTGCAGGGGACCTCGAGTGGCAATGGGGAGGGAGGGTGGCCCGACCACTGATCAGGGAGGAGGATCACAGGTCTCAGTGTCTATCCCCTCTCCCCACAGCTCCCTTGCGCTGGCTGACCTTGAGCTGGAGCTGCGTGAGAGCATCGTGGCCAAGCATGGGGACAAAGTGCCGTACGTCTATTTTAACAAGGGACTGTGAACGGAGACTATCTCAGGAGCCATCGCACCCCTCCGGCCCCCTGCCACCACCAGCCCCGCGTCCCCTGAGCAGGGCTCAGAGGCACGGTCCAGCCAGATCTGCCCCCCAGCCCAGCACTGTCTCTGCTGCCTCCTTCCTCCGGAGAGGCAGGATCTGGCTCTGCGTGCCCAGTTTGCAGCACTTTGGCTTGTCCTGAGCCTCCCCCCATCTGCTGCTGGCCGTGTCCCTGCCTCCCCACGTCCCTCTTGCCCTGGGCGATGGCTGCGCTTCCCGTGCCTTCCTCCTGCCCTGCGCACAAGGATCTGCCCAGCCTGTCTGAGCCTCGTGCAGCCACTGGTCTCGGCCCTGCGAGGCATCAGGCTCTCTCCCTCGAGGCTCAGAGCACAGTCCTACCTCCAAAAGCAGGTGCCCTGCCATTGTACCAGGAACCAAACCACGTTGCTGCCTTAAACCACCACAGTGGCCTCTTGCCAAGGGCTGGATCATGCCTTGGCAGGCAGGAAGGGACCTATCCCCTCTGCATAGGGAGCACCCCAAAGTCCAGGGACCAATGCTTGGACCATACCTTCCTTGCTCTCAGGTGCAGGTTTTAATCACTTTGTGATTGCCACAATCCAGGAGAAAAATAGTTAATAGTTTTTAGGTTCTAATTTTTGCAATCTACCCATTCCTCTGAGCACGAGAGCCAGCCGTCACCCTTGTCCTGCATCTCACTGTACCCACAGTAGGAACAAGGACCTGCAGCTTTGGGGGACAGTCGTCTCTGGGCCCCCTTGGACAGGGGGAAGGAGACACAGGAGTCACAAAGCTGTCGAGGTGTTAACTCAAGCTCTGAATAGTGGCACTGCAAATGACAGAGAGGAGGGTTGAAAAATGAAATGTGGTGATCTTTAAAAAAAACAGCTGTGGGTTCTGCTTTTGGCTGGTCTCTGGGTGTCTGGTTCCCTGGGCAGGGCTGGTACGTGGGTCTCATGCCTGCCTTGAAAGGGAAAGGTGCGGGCTCTGTGACTGACCAGGCACCAGGGTGAGGGTCAACACAGGGTCCAGGAGAAGGAGGAAGAACCAGGAGGCTCTGCAAGGGCTGGCATGAGCCCTGAAATCCTTGGGCATCCCATGCAGCCTTCCCCGAGAGGCTCTTGGGGCTGCAAACAGTCCTGAAGCAAGTGACAAAGGGAGGTGACAGTGCTGTGCTCATGGTGACTCTTGTCCCATTGGGGGGACTGCGGGGATGACACTGGGTGACCCTTCCTACACCTGTGGGTGCTGTTTGTCTTCTTGGCCAGGCAGTGTTTGCATGATGCTAACCTGGGTCTGCCATGAGGCCTCTCCCACCCCAAAGAAGAGTGGCTTGAGTTTGCTGCAGCCTATTTTCAGAGGAGGAAGGAGCCCCAGAGTTTAGCCAAGGTCCCTGCCCTCAACAAGCTGCATCCAGGCTCTCTGCTTGCTGATGAACACTCCTCAGTGGGACAAGCATGTTTCTAACCAGGTGTATGAGGTGGCTGCTCAGAGAGCCCCATGGCCCAGCAGATGGTCAACGCTCGTCCCTCCAGCCAGGATATGTGTCAGATCCCCTCCAGCCAGGGGTGTCAGATCCCTGAGGACAACAGCATCTCTGCATCAGCTGCATGCCATGCCCAAGATGCAGGGTCTGCAGGCAAAGGGCTTTCTGGCATTAACCCCTCCACTGCTACAGAGAGAGCAGCCAAACCCAAAGCATACTTCTTGAAGGGCCAAGCTGTATCCACAGCAGGCTTGCTTCTGCCCAAGCTGCAACAGGCAGAGGCTAATGTCTCCAGCCGTGTTGTAGGTACAGCTAGAAAGCTGCACAAGAGCTCTGAAATAATTAATAGGTCAGTGGAAAGTGGGAAAACATGTTCAAACTTGTGTATCTGTTCCCTGGGCATTATTAGATCTCTTGTTAATGCGCAATTAAAAGAATAGATAAGCACATGAAACGAAAACAGATGTCACTCCTGTTGGGAGTGGGAAGAAGCCACAGGAGATATCTCTGTGCTCTGCTTTTCTTAAGCTCCTTAACTCAAGCTGCTCTTGCCCTACACCCAAAACTGCTTTGAGCGCTTTCGGAAAGATACCTGTAGCAGCCTGGGCTGTATTTGGGTCCAAGGTGCCTCTGGCGTGCTTGGGAGCATGGTGATGCTTGTAACATTATGTGCCACAGTGCCCTAAAACTCTTGGTGTTGACCCTTCCTGTGTTTGCAGTGCATGGGGGTCCCGGCAGAGCAGGGGGCTCTGCGGCCAGCGATGCCAGAGCAGCGTCCACCTAAAGCCAAGGTTGGGACCACGGTGGGAAAGCCTCAGCGGTTTTGTCACTCCTTTTTTCCTGCCCCCAGCCATACCAGAGGGGCGATGGAGCAGGGGGACCCTCTAAAGAGCTATTGCCATCTCGTGCCAGCTCTCCCCCTGCTCTGGGGAGCCGGACGTGGTGCAGCTCATTGCTCTTGGCCAGAGGAGGAGGGTTGCTCCAGGCTTGGAGGATTGGCAAGTTGGCCGCTGCCATCCTCAAGCCAGACCTCCCCCCCGAGCTTATAGCAGTGGATTCCCTCTTCAGATCGACATGGATTTATGCCAGCTGACAGTTTAGCTCAGCGGGGTTTCTAAGTTGTAGCTGGAATCTCCCCTGGAGGATTCAAGTAATCTCAACAGCTCACGTCGCTCCAGTGTCAGGTCAGGAGATGGTTGCTGCACCCGGTGCCTGCCTGCACTCCCCAAAACCACAGTAACTCCCCAGCCTGCCTTGGTCTCATTGGGGAGCAGAGGGGTCGCAGCCAGGCTGCGGCCAGCAAGTCCCCATGCTGCCAAGGGTGGCTCCGGCCAGCCCTGCCTTCATTTTCCATTGATGCAACAGGAAGGGAACCTCGTTGCCAGGAGTCAGAGCCGGACTCATCCCTGTTTGGGAAGAGCAGCAAGTGTTAATTGCTCTCCAGCGATGAGTCACACCTGATCTGGGCTTGTCCTGTGCTTCAGTGCACTCACAGCCTTCTCCCTGCTGCGCCTCTAATTTCAGGGCCAGCTGGGAACAGGAATAAAGCTCCTTTAATAACTGTGCGTGGCCGAAATGTCAGTGCTCCAGCATGTTTACAACCTCCCTTCAAATGATAACCAGACCAAAGACGTCATGTTGGGCTGCAGTAGAGCCTGGGAAGGGGCTGGGGACGCATGAGAGGCTGGGGGTCTCCTCTGAGGCATCAGCAGCCCCAGCAGGCAGGCTTGGCTCACTGCTCCTCACCCAAAGGCAGGTGGAGGCTGGTGAACTGACTGCTTACAGAGAGAGGAGCAAGGAGGGTGCAGGAGCAATGGGTTAACACCTGCTGGCCCACACCAGCAGCAGGCGGGGAGCTGATCCTGTGGGGTTACGTGTGCCCCAAGTACTGCCCTGATTGAAAAATGCCAGGGTAGGAGATAAGCTGCTAAGTCGATTATTTTTTTCTGGCTTTCCTTAACATGTTATCTGAGCATCTGATAAACCTCGTCATGCCAATCCGGCGTGGAGGCTGCCTGGTGTGCCGGGAGCGACAGTGTAGAAACCCTCTGCCACTGCCCCAGAAATGCAGGCCATCTCCCCTGAAGCTGTGAATTAACCCCAAGTGCCTGTGCCCCCACTTCTCTGGGGGGGTGCAAGCCTGGGCGAGGGACCACTGTGTGGGGACACGCTGGCACCCGGCCGCGGTGGGAGATCCTCTTCTCCATGCCGCTCCCGTATCCCGACGGGGCTGGCACCAACTTGTGGCTGCCCGGCTGCCCGCTGCGCGCCTCGAGTCCAGCCCCATGCTGCTGCTGCTATTTTAGCACCCTCTCCATGTCAAGCTCCCTGGTGTGCCCCAGGTCCGGGTGAGCTGTTTGGGTTTGGGGCTCTGTGGGTGCATTGGGGAGGAGGCCGAGCGGGGACCACAGTAACGGGGTGTGACCAGGTGAATGGGGGATGAGTGCCTGGCAGCCATTGGGGTGTCAGGGAGGCCTGGGGGCTTGTGCACC